CTTTTGTGTTCCTAAGCTGTGGTTTAGGGTTTGGCACTCCCACAGACCTGGTGGGGTGCTCACAGGGCACATCTGGGGTCCTTCCAGGAGGACTGAGTGATGGAGCTCAGAGGGGAGAGCACATCCAGAAGGGTTGATTCCAGCAGGAGCTCTTTTGTTGTTGTTTGCCGAGGAAGGGAGGGGTAAATGACAGCCTCGCTCAGGTACTTCAATGCGGTAGGAGAGTTTGAGGGTGGAGGTGGTATAGGGCTGGGGGGTTCAGCCAATTCGGAATTATTGGGTATAGACTGAGGAGTGAGGTCCAGGCTCAGAACGGGAAGCTGTGGAGGTGAAGAGGAAAATGGAGAGACACAATAGAGGAGGGAGCAGTAAGATTTGGAAAGCGATGGAAGCAGGGGTGGGACTCCGCAGAAGTGAGATCATACGGTATTTGTCTTTCTCTGATTTATTTCACTGAGCATAATACCCTCAAGGTCCACCCATGTTGTTGCAATGGCAGGATTTCCTTCTTTTTATGGCTGAATAGTACTCCATTGTATATACTTACCACATTTTCTTTATCCATTCATCCACAGATGGACACTTAGGTTGTTTCTATGCCATAGCTATTGTAAATAATGCTGCAATGAAGATGGGCGGACAGATTATCTCTTTGAGAAAATTTCATTTTATTCAGCTATATATGCAAAAGTAATATTGCTGGGTCATATGGTAGTTCTATTTTTAACATATTAAAGAATCTCCATACTGTTTTCCACAGTGGCTAAACCAATTTACACTCCTATACAGTGCACAAGAGTTCCCTTTTCTCCACATCCTCACCCAATTTTGTTATCTCTTACCTTTTCATGATGGCCATTCTAGCAGCCATGGGGTGATATCTCATGGTGTTTTTAATTTGCATTTCCCTGATGATTAGTGATGTTGAGCATCTTTTCATGTACCTATTGGCCATTTGAATAACTTCTTTGGGAAAAGTCTATTCAGATCTTTTTCCCATTTTTTAATTGGAATTTTTTTTTTGCTTTTGAGTTGTATTAAGTTCTTTATATATTTGGTATTAACCCCTTGTCAGGTATATGATTTCAAATATTTTTTTTCTATTCCATAGGTTGCCTTTTCACTTTGTCAGTCATTTCTTTTTCTGTGCTTTTTAGTTTGATATAGTTCTACTTGTTTATTTTTTATTTTGTTGCTTATGCTTTAGGTGTTATACCAAAAAAAATCATTGCCAAAGCCCATGTCAAGAAGCTTTTTCCCTATGTTTTCTTCTAGTTTTACAATTTCAGGTCTAACATTTAAGTCTTTATCCATTACAAAGTTAATTTTTATGAGTGGTGTAAGATAGTTCCATTCTTTTACATGTGAATATCCAATTTTCCCTGCACCATTTATTGAGGAGACTGTCTTTTCTCCAATGAGTATTCTCATCTCCCTTGTCAAACACTAGTTGACTTTATATGCAGGGATTTATTTCTGGGCATTCAATTTTGTTCCACTGGTCTGTGTGTCTGTTTTTATGCCAGTACCACACTGTTTAGATTAGTGTAGCTTTATAATAACTTTGAAATCAGGAATTATAATGCCTCCAACTTTGTTACTCTTTCTCAGGCTACTTTGACTGTTTAGAGTCTTTGGTGCTTCTATAAAAATCTTAAGATTTTTTTTTTTACTTTTGTAACAAATTAAAATTTTGATAGGGATTGCATTGAATCTATAGATGGTTTTGGGTAGTGTGGACATTTTAACAATATTAATTCTTCCAGTCCATGAGCATGGGATATCTTTTCATTTATTTGTATCTTCTTCAATTTCTTTCACCAATGTTTTATAGTTTTCAGTGTAAAGATCTTTCACCTCCTTGGTTAAATTTATTCCTAACAATTTAATTGTTTTTAATGCTATTGTAAATGGCGTTGTTTTCATTATTTACCTTTCAGATAATTTGTTATTAGTGTACAGAAATGCTACTGATTTTTGCATGTTGATTTTGTATCCTGCCACATTACTGAATTCATTGATTTGATCTAACAGTTATTTGGTAGAATCCTTAGGATTTTCTTTATATAAAATCATGCCATCTGCAAATAGACAATTTTACTTTTGTCTTTCCAATTCTGATGGCTTTTATTTCTTTTTTTGCCTGATTTCTCTGGCCAGGACTTCCACTACTGTGTTGAACAGGAGTTGTGCAAATGAGCACCCTAGTCTTGATCCTGATCTTAGAGGTAAAGCTTTCAACTTTTTCCTATTAGTATGATGTTAGCTGTGGGCTTGTCATGCATAGATTAGTCTATTGATAGTTTTTATCATGAATGGGTGTTTAATTTTGTAAAATGCTTTTTCTACATCTATAGAGATGATCATATGATTTTGATCTTTCATTATATTAATGTGATATATCATATTTATTTATTTGTGTATGTTGAATCAAACTTGCAATCTAGGGATGAATCCTGCTTGATCGTGATCCTCTTAATGTGCTGCTATAGTTTGCTAGTATTTTGTTGAGAATTTTTGCATCTGTATTTATCAAGGAAATTGGCACACAGCTTTCTTTCCTTGTAGTGTCCTTATCTTGGCTTCAGTATCAGGATATGCTGGCCTTATAAGATGAGTTTGGAAGTGTTCCCTCCTTTTCAATTTTTTGGAAAACTTTGAGAAGGATTGGCACTAATTTTTCTTTAAATCTTTGGTAGACTTCACCTATTGAAGCCATCTGGTCCTGGAATTTTCTTTGTTGGGGGATATTTTTATTACTGATTTTTTTTATCTCCTTACCAGTAATGGTCTGTTCAGATTTGTGTTTCTTCCTGATTCAGTCTTGATACATTGTATGCTTCTAGGAGTTTATTCATTTCTTCTAGGATGGCATATAGTTTATTGGCATATAGGTGTTCATAATAGCCTCTTGTGATCCTTTGTTTTTCTGGGGTATCAATTCTAACATCTCCTCTTCCATTTATAACTTTGTTAACGCGTCCTCTCTTTTTTACTTTGGTTAGTCTAGCTAACGATTTGTCAATTTTGTTTATCTTTTCAAAGAACAAACTCTTTTCTACTGTTTTCTACTTTCCTATTGTTTTCCTATTCCCATCTTGCTGCCTAATTTGGGCTTACCTTGTTCTTTTTCCAGTTCCTTAAAGTATGAAGTGGTTGTTTATTTGAGGTCTTTCTGGTTTCTTGATGTGAGCATTTACACCTATAAATAGCAGATTTAGAACTGCTTTTGCACCATCCCATAAGTTAAGCAGTATGTTATTTTTCCATTTTCATTTGTCTCAAAATATTTTTTATTTCCCTTTTAATTTCTTCTTTGATCCATTGGTTGTTCAGAAGACTTGTTTAATTTCAACATATGTGTGAATTTTCTGGTTTTCCACCTGATATTGAATTTTAGTTTCATACTATTGAAGCCAGAGAAGACACATGGTATGGTCTCAGTCTTCTGAATTTGCTAGACCTGTTTGGTGGCCTAATATGTGATCTATCCTAGATCATATCCCATGTGTACTTGAGAAAAATATGTGTTCTGCTGTTGTTGGAAAGATGTCGATTTTATTGATGACTGGATATGAGGTCTGAGAGAGAAATCATCTGACTCCTAGATTATGAGTTGGGAAACCAGAAGCCAGGTGTAAGGAAAGCAAAGCAAATTCTTGTCAAGGCCCTTAAAAGCCAGATGCTTTACAAGACTGAAGGAACAAAATGGCAGCAGACTCAGGGACTCCAAGAATGAACTAGTGGTTACCAAAGGGGAAGGGTGTGGGAGGGCAGGTGGGGAGGGAGGGAAAAGGGGATTGGGGGGTATTATGTTTAGTACACATGGTGTGGGGGATCACGGGGAGAACAGTGTAGCATAGAGAAGTCACATAGTGAATCTGTGGCATCTTGCTGCACTGATGGACAGTGACTGCAATGGGGTGGGGGTGGGGACTTGATAATATGGGTAAATGTAGTAACCACATTGTTTTTTCATGTGAAACCTTCATAAGAGTGTATATCAATCATACCTTAATAAAAAATTTTGAAAATAAAAAAATAAAAAGCCAGATGCTTTACAGATGTTCTCATCACACCCTGCTTTTACAAAAGAGGAAAGTGGGGTTCAGAGAGGTTAAGTAATTCACCCAAGGTCACATCTAGTAAGTGGCAGAGCTAGGATTTAAACCCAAGTCTGTCTAGCTCTGCAGCCCAGGATCTCTCCACTGAACAATCACGCTGCCTGCCTTGCAGAGTTAGCAGAGGGCTCAACAACATCAGGCGATAGGCTAGGTAATAAACATCTGCTCAGTAGCTGGGTCCTACCTTAAGCAACTTATGTATTCCTGTGAGCCTTCTTCTGTGAACTCTGTGAGGGAGAGACCAAGAACCTAAAGTGGTGGTGATATTAGTAAACATGCTTTTATCACAGTGATTGAGACACACTGAGTATTTATTTGTTGCTGCCTCAACCATAAGGGACTTAATCAGTTGACAATTTCGGTTCCCCAGGCAGATCAGACTGGAACCACAGAAAGCTGCAGTTGCTATTTATTGAGACACTTCACAGGCACAGACAGGGGAGGTGAGTGAGGGTAGATTCAGGGGGAGGGTGGGTCTAGTGGGAAACTAGGGAGGTTGAAGGGCCTTTGAGGACCACTCCCAACCTCCATCCCTCCTCTTCCAGCATGTCCTGAGCTCAGAGCAGAGGAGCAGAGGAAGTTAGGGAACCTGAGATAGCCTGAAAAACCCAACCTACTCTCAGTGGTCAGAAGGCAACCCCCAAAACACCTAAACAAATCACTTAAGTTGGCAGCCATAACTTCCCATCCCATCCCATCATTGCAGAACCAAGAAAACCTGGATAGTTTGAACCCTTCCCAAAATACAGATCACAAATACGCTGGACCTGTGATCCTGAGCTATTCCTGCACCTCTGGTAAGTGGGGTGGGCAGCAGAGGTGGGTGAATGGAGCGGGAAGAAGACTGCAAGGGCCCCGGCTTGCAAGGGTTGGCAGCTAATACCTCTGGCTGGACGTCTTGACTGTGGTGGTCTTCCGCAGGGTGGAGGTACTCCCAGAGACAGGCCCTCCCTTGACGGTGCTGTAGCCCACATGGGTGCTGAATCCACCCTTGCCAGCAACCCCACTCCCACCCAGAGAGATGCCACCCCCAAAGCCAGCTGCACTGCCTCTGCACACAGTGGTGGAGTTGCCAGTCACCGCTGCAAGACAAAGGATTTAGATAAGGCAGGATAGTCATGCTGGGAGAGGGCCAGAGGCTTCCAGAAATCAAGGAAGGATGGGATGAAACCAGGCAATGCAGCCATGTGAAATGGTTGGAGAAGCTGGGGCAGGAAGCTCATTCTCTGGGGCCCCCTGGACTCGGGTTCAAGTGGAGGGAATATGTTCTTCTGGCCAAGGACAGATTGAATGGACTGAGCAAAGGACAGGGGCTGGGCCCTGTGTGGGGCAGCAAAATACTCACAAATGCTGACTGCACTCGGACATTCTCCAGACATCCTGGGGAAAACAGAAAAGCCAGGAGAAGGAAGGCGTCAGGGATCCCTGGAGCCCAAGCAAAAACCCCTTTCTCCCTCTGCCTTCACAGTGGATCAACTCAGTGGGTCAACACTCGAGAGCCAGGGCCCACATGACAAGACCAGGAGACAAGAGAAGTATGTGATGTGGCAGCTCTGGACCTGGCAGCCTGTGCAGCAGCTCCTAATACCAGTGCTGCAGACGCAAAGGGCAGCAGGCCACACACCCTCCATCCAACCCCAGCCTCCCCTCCTTCCACATGCAGTCCATGGACAGCATGCCTGCTCCCCTAGAAAAGAAGCCCATGCCAAAACAAGCTCCCCAGCTCTGGCTAAAGTGACTTTCTCTACGTCTCATTCCTTCCCCAAGAACAGAGATGATGAATTTTTTTCAGAGCTGCCACCGGTGGTGGAATCTGTTTTTGGAAGAGAAACCTCCCTCCTGTTGGGCTGCCAGCCACTGTGAGGACTGCTGAGGGTTGAGCGGCAGAGATGGTGAATGCAAGTGAGAGAGTCGCCTTGGGTGATGAATCAGGAGCCTAGCTCCTCCCTTATTCCCTGCCCCCGACCAGAGCTGCCCACCCTGGCCTCCCATGGGGCAGGACTGAAGAGCCCTCTGAACCGAGGCAGGAGGAGCAGCCACCTGCTCTCCTCGCCCTCCAGCAGCTTGCGGTAGGCAGCGATCTCCACATCAAGGGCCAGCTTGACGCTCATGAGGGCCTGGTAATCACGCAGCAGCCGGGCCAGGTCCTCCTTTGCCTGGTGCAAGGCCATGTCCAGGTCCCCAAGCTGCTTCTGAGCATCCTTTAACGCCAGGTCCCCACGCTGCTCTGCTTCCACAATGGCGGTCTGCAGCTGCTGGCCCTGCCCAGGGATGAGAGGTGTTGGGAACTCGCTCCAGGGTCATCACATCCATCCCTCTGCCCTCAAGCCAGGCATCACCATTCCCTACCTTCCCCTACCCCAAACAACTGGGAAAGAAGCAAAGCAGAAATATCCATCTGAGGGAAGATGCTGTTACATAAGCAGGATCACGGAGAACCCCTGGAAAAGTCCTTATTGAAGTCTAATCTTAGTCCCTCCTGCTTCAGCTCAGCCCAGTGCCTCAAAAGATAAAATAAATAATGCCTCACCCTTAACCAAATGCTTCACTCTGATCTGGGAGGAGCCCATGCTTTTTTAACCCATACCTTAGGTAGGGTCAGCAGCTACGACCTGACCCTCAAACCCTCAGTCTCCTGCTCTGACCTCTAGAGATAAGATCAAAATCCTTGGATAAGGTCGCCCCACTTGCTCTACCGCTAATGTGTTATGTGACCTTAGACAAGTCCCTCTCCCTCTCCTGGCCTCAGTTTCCTTTCTATAAGAGGAGTTTATTGACCTTAATGGTCTAGCATTTGAGTGTGACCTGTCCATCAGAAGAGCAGGTCTTGCCCCTCAGCATGACAATAAGAAGGTCCCCCACCTCTGCCAACACCCGGGACTGAACCCCCAGGCGCCCATCTAGAGGCTCACCTGCTTGTTGACTGCATCTACCTCACTGTGCAGCCTCTGGACAGTGCGGTTGAGCTCATTAATCTTGTTCTTGGTGTCCCGCAGATTGTCCTTATGCTTCCCAGCTGTCACCTGCAGCTCCTTGTACTGTAGGCCAAAGAAGTGGCAGTGAGCTGTCAGATAGTTCCAGGCCCAGGCAAACCCTCACAGCTAGAGGCCCCTGAATAGTCTGGTGTGTCTGGCCTCAAGCTTCCAAGGAGCCCAGTGGCACAGGCCTCTCATAATGGGGAACGTCTGTGTCCAGTCCCAGCCCACATGCCTGAGCCAGTCATTCTCGTCACCTTGGTCTGGTACCAGGCTTCAGCCTCAGCCCTGCTTCTCTGGGAAATCAGCTCGTACTGGGCCTTGACCTCAGCAATGATGCTGTCCAGGTCCAGGTTGCGGTTGTTGTCCATGGACAAGATGACGCTGGTGTCAGACACATGGGTCTGCACTTGGCTCAGCTCCTGCAGAGACAGAAATAGTTGTCGCCAGCATCCCTGCCCCAGGCTGCACCCTGGGAGAAAACTGTAACTGCAAAGGAAGTCCTCAACCTCTCTCACTGTGAAATGCGGCTCCCATTTTCATAGAAAGCATTTCTTCTTACGGACTCGCAGGTTTCTAAGAGACTAAAGAAAAGGAAAGGGAAATGTACTTACTGCACTCAGGCTGCTGCCAGGCAGTGAACCAGCACATTCTCTAGTCCTTTTAATCCTCAGAACACCCTGTGAGGCAAGCAGGGCCACAGCTGGCCCTCAAATTGGGAGGAGGCTCCCCTCTGGGCATTGGCAACTGCTAAGGCCTGGGGAGCTGAGCCTGGTTCCATCACACTCTCCACTCAGCCACTTACCAACCTGAACCTCCATTCACAGTGGCCCTGATTTAGGCAGGTGAGGGAAGAGGCTTGAAGAAGAGAAGTGACACATCCAAGGTCACCAGATCCAAGGTCATCCAGTCTGGTCCTGGAGTCCAGACTGGAACCAGCCCATTGAGCAACAAAGCCCAGTGGTTTCCTCTAGAGCACACTGATATCTATAGACCATGGTGGTGTTCTTGGACCTTCCCTGTGTTTCTAGGGCCACCAACTTTCATGACCAGACATTTAGAGATGCCACGATGTTTGGTTGCTGTGTTCTGGCTTTGAAATCTGCTCTATCACTACGTCACAACTGCGTTGGCTCCCGGGGGTGCTCTGCCTGTCCCTGTCATGGCCCTTCCTACCCTGGCTGCTGACACCTTGCCCCAAACCCCAGCTCTGATCAAATCACTCAGCCACTCAGTGCTCCTCAGTAGCTCCCAAAGGGGAGAGAATCTTCCTTGTGAAAGTCAATGCCTTCTACATTCTGGTCTTGTCTCCAGCTTTTGTCAGACATTGGCCTTTCGCTGAAGCCAATGGGATTACAACAGAGGCAGAATAACCATAACCATTCTCATTTACTGGGCATCTCCTGTGGGCGGCACTGGGTTAAGCACTGGCAAGCACTGATCCGTTGCATGCCCTCTTCCAAAGTCACAAAGACTAACTGGCCCCAAATCACAACTAATAAATGGAGAGCCCAGTCTCAAAACTAGGAAGCTGACATCAGAACCTCCAATGACATAGACTAAAGTAGAGATGGACAGAAATGAAGAGCAAGAGAAATACCAAAAGCCAAAACTGATATCCATATTGGATTTAGATTATTAAATTACATTGTCTTTTAAAAGGGAGAATGTACTGGGGAGAAGGGGCAGAAATACAATCACTGAAACATTTGTGGTTTAGTGAACAGACACGTGCTCTGGAGACAGACCAAGCAAATTTAAGTCCCCAGCCTAATATTCACTAGCTGAACCTCCCAATGCCTCAGCCCCGTCTCCTATGAAATGGCCATAATAATACCCTCCTAGTGCAGCTGATGCGAGGATTTAGATCCATACATGGCGGCCCATGGTGGGTGCTCAGTTAATGCATCGTTTGCTCAAACATCTCTGAATGTCAGTCAAGATGCCCACAAGGCATAACCGCCACAGATCACATCATTTTGTCACAGCTGTGACAGCACCGCCAGCACCATATTGCAACATCACCCCTCCCCAGTGCCAGAGCCCTCTGCAGTCCCAGGCCGGAGCACGGTCCTGGGGAATCGTGCTGGAATTGGTAAGGCAAGGAGGCAGAAACTACCTTCCAGATTCCACCTAGAACGGATGAGGGTGATCTTGCTAGAACAAGGAGATAAAAAGATCAGGCTTTCCCAAGACGCAGAGCTAATGCAAGTGGGGAGAGAAGATCTCTCCTTAGGCACCATTGACCTTTGGGGAAGAGCAGGTAGAGATCACCTGGGCAAGGGGATAAAGAGCCAGACAGGCCAAAATGATGTCACTGGAGCAGGGTCTGGATCCCACAGGGACCCCAGGCCACAGGGAGGCCCTGAGGCTGCTTTCCTACCCTGTAAGGTACACCAGGGACTGGCGGTTGGCACTCCAGATTTCCTTGAGATCTGGCCTGACCAAACCCAAGCCATGAAATCCACTACCTAGTGCCATGTTGGCACTCACGCCTGATTCACCCATGAAGCGGCAAGGGAAAGACTGCTCTGGCCTTCATTCTTATGCCACAGCAGGCACAGATAGGCAGTGAGGAACTTTGACAGGAAGGTGCCCCGGCTTGGTCCCTAGCTCATCCTCCCTGTCCACCTTTTCACCTAATTCTCCCACACACTCAATACCCAGCCTACCTGCTGCTCCCTAAACACACCACGTTCTTTGGTGCCTCCATGTCACTGCACAGGCTGAGGCCCTGGCCAGAAGACCCTTCCTGCTCCTCCTTTAAATGCGCTGCTGTTTCTTCAAAATCCAGCTCAAATGCTGTCTTCTCTGTAGCTCCCCCAGCCATCCCAGGAAGTGCCAGTCACAACCTGCTCCATGCACCTTGTGCCCTGCCCCTCCATGGCTCTCATCACATGGTGACTCAGCACAGGACTGCAGGCCCCCTCAAAGGCAGGGGCTTAGTCCTTCTGCTGCTATGTGGAAGATACTCAGTAACATGTGTAAAATGAACAAGGAACAGCAGAGGAAAGGAACACTGGCCAGCACATGCCAGACACATGCCTTAAGCAGTAGAAAAGCCAGTTCCTACCCATTCAGAGAAGAGGGGAGTGCGCTCACTTGACCAGGCCCAAAAGAGAAAAGAACCTAAGAGGCCTAGAACAGGGAGCGACCATCAGTGACCCCAGTAAAGAAGAAACTGGGGAGGCACCAAAGAAATCAGTGATGATGGCATAAAACTGCCCAACAAGCTCCATCCTAACAGGACATGTAGAGATGTTGGAAAGAGAGCAACACAACCGAGAATGAGCCTGGGGAAATGCTAAAGCCAGTGGACAGGGGCTGTTAGATGGGCTGTAGCCCAAGAGAACAAGGAAAGCAGCATTGGGCTAACCCTACAGAGGGCCCAGGAAAAGCCAATGACTCAACTGCTAAGTCACTTGCCTCTTTTCCATCCACAAGAATAGTCATCAAACTAGAAAGGGCAGAATGCTTGAGAAGAAATGTAGACTCAAGACAGACACAGAGCATGAGAGGCCTTGGCCTTGTTGGGGATCTCAGGGGCCCAGAGCAGAAGAGCAGATCCTAGGAGACCAGGGGGATTTTGCCAAGGGGGTCAACACCTCTGGACATCCTTGAGGAATATGGAGAGTAGCAGAGGTTCTAGAACCCCAGACACAGCAAATGTTCCCATTTTCAAAGGAATGAGATTTAGGTTGCTTGAAGTTAAACTTGATGTCAGTCTCCTATGAACCTCTGGAAAGAATTATAAAATGTTTACAAGAGGCATGGAGCCAGCGAGACATCCCTAAGAAAAAGTCCACTGAAAGAGATTTCATTCCTTCCATGACTGTATTTCTAAACTGCTGAAAAACTGCCAGAGACATCGTTTGACCAATGAAAGTAAGACAGAAGAATGTGGACCGGATATGGTTAATGGATTTTAAAGTAGCCAAGTCACTTGAACCACAAATTAATGGATTAGTGGAGCGAGGTCAGCCAGATGGGAAGGAACCATTGAAAACCTAGTTCTTGTACGAGGACTCCATTTTTGGCTCTGTCTGCTTTAACATGCTTCCAATGATTTACACTGAAACGTTATCAAATTAACTGAACTGAATTTTTATCAGGTCTGCAGATAACTCAAAGCTGGCACATCATTAATATATCCAATTATCCAGTTGGGTATCTCCAGGATATGGATAGGAGAATCAAGTTTCAAAGTGCCCACAATTACCTGAAATGATGGGATGAAAGCACAATACCATTTCATAGGGAAACAGAAATCCTTAACTCTTGCATTTGGTTTCAAAAATTCAATTGCCCAATTACAGGAAATGGAGGAGAGTGGATACATGTCTCACTTGAAAGCACTCGCATGAAAAAATCCCAGGGGCTTTTAAGGAGCAAACATTCTTAAGTGGCTTCTAGAAATAACACACAAACTAGTACAATAGGTGACTGCATGAACCGAAGTCTGTATCTATAACCTCCCTCCCCACCCCTCATTTTCTGAATTCTGGACAAAGAACCCTGCTTCTTCAACTTCCCCCATGCCACAGATGTCCCCTCATCATCCTGACCTCTAAAATGCTTTCATATGAAAGACATCGGTCACATGGAAGACAACTGGATATGTGTAGCCCAGAGGGCAGAATCAGGGCCAATCAAGAGCAGAAGTCATGGAAAGAAGAGTCAAGTCAACTTTCTGATAAAGTTGCTCAACAATAGAAATGCCCACACCAAAATATAGTGAGCTCTGTCCCTCTAAGTTTTTGAATAGATGTCATATGACCCCCTGTCAGGGATATTAGAGGAAGTGTTTGTGCATTGAGTGGCTGCCCTTGACGTCCCTAGTGAGTCTAAGAATCTGTGATTCTGTGGTCAGCTCGAGCTAAGTTCAACACTCATCCTAGTCTTCAAAGTCCCCTCGTTTACTAGGACCCCTCCTAGATTCTGTGATCTACCCCCTCCCAGCTGCTCACCTCCTGCTCCAATCTGAGCTCTCAGTCTCCCCTCTCTGCCGATCTCTACTCCTCCATTTCTTCTTGCTCCATTACAAACTGGACAAAAAGGGAAACAGTGTAACACAGTAGCAAGAGTCAGACTTTGAAGTCCAAGAACTAGGTGTTGATTCCAGCACAGCCTCTAGCTGTGTGACCATGGGTAAGTTACTCTGAACCTGTCTCTGATCATAAAGGGGAGACAATAATAATACCTTTATTAGGAAGTTGTTGAGAGGATTATGTAGAAAGCTTAGCTCAGCACCTGGCCCATCACAAGCACTTAATACATGGAAGCTAGTACTAATTAAAGGCCCAGGTTCTACCTTCTATCAATTACACTGCACTAGTGAGTTCAGATCAGACCTGCAGGGAGAATCCATAATGCTGTATGTGAAGGTAATTCTCCCTCCCCATCTCACCAGTTCATAGAGGTGTCTCAGGAATTTGATCTCCTCGGTAAAGGAGACCTCTTTGCCCTGTAGATCCATTTTGTTCATGTATGCAGCATCCACGTCCTGGGGGCCGGGGAGAGAACAGGGCAGATGGCTCAGCTTCCTGGGCTCTTGCCTTTCTCCAAGTCAGCCCAGCACCCTGGCAGCCAAAAGACCACCTGCCCCGCTCCCTGCCCCCTGCTCACCTTCTTGAGCACCACAAATTCGTTCTCTGCAGCAGTGCGCTTGTTAATTTCATCCTCGTACCTGTTCACACAGGGAAGTCTCAGCCAGGCTCAGCCCAGTTCTGCCTTGTAAGACATTGAACCCTCTTGACTTTAAGCCTTAGTGGGTCCCACATTGTCCAAAAATACCTTTGAAGAGCAGTTGTGTAATGTAGCCAACCAGTGAAGAAACTAGGGGGATAGTCCTTAAATATACCTACCCATCCCCTTTTAAGGAAACTGGCACAGAATGTATAATAGGGCAATTGAGAGCAGCCATCTTTTTGGATAAGAGCCCTTACAGGGCTTTAGAGAAACAGGTATAAAGAAGATGCGTTAACAATGATTAATCTTTGCATTCACTTTCAAGAACAGGAGGATGTCATTTAAAACAACTAACTTCTTAAAAAGCCAACCTTTTCAAACAATATTGCTTCTCTCTCACTTACCAACTTTACATTTCCCTGTATGGCCCCAGAAGATGACTGGTTAGTCAGAGACGGGTAAGATTCCTCAAGGGAGGAACAACCTAAGACAGGCACAGTCGCAGGGGGGCCATCAGGTGAGAAATTGGGGATCAACAGAGGTGAGGCTTAGAACCTCACTCCCCCTGTTTTGAGAGAAATCTTCTGCATCCGTGGATGTTTTGTTGCCCTTATCTAGCTTGGATTAATACTTAGTCCATAGGCACACACCTGATCATCTACATTTGCCCTCTCACAGCACTAAACTATGTTTTCTACCTTTATCTTGCATCTACCTACCACTTCAGCATTTTATTAAAAATAAAAATAATAATAATAATAGGAGAAATGTGGGATCAACATATAAATCAAGTACAAAAATCAAACGAATATTCATATTTGACCTGATTGTTTATAGGTCATAATGCATGATCAAAACCGAAAGTTTCTGTGATGAATGCCCTTGTACTGTTCACCATGTAAGAATTTATTCACTATGTAAGAATTCGTTCACCATGTAAGAACTTGTTCGTTATGCTTCAGAAGATTGGAGACTGACGAGAATTAGGCTTG